AAGTGCTATCTGAGTGCTATCTTTGCAATCTAACCAGTCCCAAATTGGTTGTTCAGTCTACAACTTTTGAATTTTAACAGGCTTTGGTTAAAAATTCATTCTCAAGTTCACAGGAGGCAATAAAAATGGAAAATATTGCTGGTCGGGTCATGACTTCGGTGACTAGAAAGTCCAGCACTTACATTAGCTGCTCTCCTGCTGCAATTATACTACTTCCTTGAAAAGAAATGAAAAAAAGTTACCTAGCCTAAGAAATGTAAAGAATGAAAAAAATGGTGTCTAAGATTGTGGAAACCATTGGTTAATCCAGAAAACAGTTACCTCCACTTTTTGAAGAGTACTTTGCTCCATCACTCACAACAATGAATATATAAAACCCCTGAGTTTACTTAACGCCATCTTTCTGGCCTGATTGAATAGCAAGTTGTTTTCAAAAAGCTTCAGCCATACTCCTTACTTCTTAAAATCCTTCAGCATCAGTCTCTTCTTTAACACCCACCTTGATATATATACAAGGTAGAAGCATTTCTCTTTGCAGCAGTTGTGTAAGAAGTGAATATCATGGATTCATTTTAAAGAGGACCAACTTGGATACATAAAGACGGGTTAATGTAATTCCCCAGTACCAGACAGGGATGACTGTCAGAGCTGGGAGGGGAGCCTGAATGTTCCAAAGCCCAGTCTTTGGAACTGGAGTAACCATGTCAGTTTTCCAGGTAGGTCAATCCCTCTTAGCTGCCCAAGGCTCATGTGAGAATGTTCTCAATGTGCCTCACAGTTGTCACTACATCCCTGCATGTTCTACTGCATGGTGTGCCTGCATGGATTTAACTTGTTTGCAAAGGCTCTGTCTTCCCACCCCACCTGGTCACAGGTTCAAAGGAGCCATGTTCTCTGTCTTTCAGTGTAGCAAATGTTGTGCAAAATGAGTGAGACTGCAAATCATGTTCAGTTAACCTGAGATAGGTCTGCTACTAGGTTTCTTCTTGCCTGCTGCCTTTCAGGTAGGATGCAAGTTTCCCTGTCTTCCATCTTAAGTCTAAGAGCCTCAGATAGATGTCTTGAATATCCTACAGCATTTAAAATGGCACCAAGAAACTGCATTTGGATAATTGAATGTCTTCCTTCATCCCTTCTCTGCAGTTTACATAGGTCTGTGTTGTATTTAAGCTGTTATGGTGGGAGGTGTGTTCTCTGCCTCATACATGAGGTTCACCAGAACTCCCAAGAAGTGCTCAGAGAAACTTGGGTCAGATTTATTTTTTACAGACCCACAGGAAACGCTGCTTTGACTATAACAAAATGGCAGCTTCTCTCATTGCAAATCCCTTGTCTTACCACCAGTTTGGGTTTATTTTATGCAGCATTTCCAGCTAGTTTTATCAGAGAAATTTCTCTCTTTCTTAGAATGTAAACCTTCTCATAAATGTACGTCTCCCATGGCACTAATTTGGTAAAATGCTGCTGTAAGTTTCATTTTGTCTCCAACTGCGCAAATGGCTGCCAAAGAGTAATTAGGCGTTGTAGCCTGAGCTCAGTAGAACATTAAATGCTGTAGTTTAGTAGTCACTTTGCTTCGTTCTGTGCTCTTGCACAAATCTCTGCTAATCTACATAAGTAATATGTGCGCAGGCTTCCAGGAACCGTGCACATTTGCCATTTCTAGCTTGGGCTAAATGCTCACTAGTGCTGTATTTTTAGCACCTCATGTTTTAACCAGGAAGGCAGCATAAAGGTTATCAAGTTCTTCCCTAAGTAAAAAAAAAAAAAGCATGTATGAGAAAATACCACTGGTAATGTTTATCCAGAATGTAAAACATGGTATCGAAATAAGTCATATTTTTATTGGCTTCTGGCCAGAACAGCTGTCAACAAAAGAAAAGTGTGTAGGGTTAGAAGGGAAGAAAGCTATGGAAAAAAAAAAAAATTGAGGCCCTTTTGTTTTCCTTTTTCTGTGAGAAAGAGTCTTAGGCATATTTGTAAGGCATGTGAGCTACAGGAAACTACCAGACCTTCACCTTACAAAACACATAGCCCATTCTAAATTCTCAGTGGTAAGAATTTTAAGAAAAACCCTTGTGATTAAGCTATACTTTCTGGGTTGCTTTGTAAGTGAGTTTGGAGATGCATCACACAGTAGGTCTGTTAGAGATTTAGAAATGCAGAAGAAAAGATCAGCGTTTTTCTGAAGCTCCCTCGGTAGCAGCAAATAGGATTCTTATCCTTTCATTTTTAGTGCATTGTTCTTTTTCCTTCAGAAAAATGCTGTGAATTGGATAATATTATCCCAGTTGTCGAAATAAAGGATTGAAGCAAAGATTGAGAGGCAAATTTTGTATAGTCACTGCGTAATTACACAGAGGATAATGAAAGAAACCACTGCTGACTGTTGTGCCCAGCAAGGAAAGGATAATTTTGCTGTGAGGAGTCACTGAAAGATTCCCACTGATAGACATGAGAAAAGAACTGGTCAATGCAGTGCAATGGACCTACACTCCCTGTTTGAAGCCCAGGAATGCTTGTTCCCATCCCAAATATGTTTTTCTAGATAAATTTCCCATAAAATTCTCAACCCTGTTGTTTTCGGTAGAAATTCCAGCACGGACAACCTTAGTAATACAGATTTTGGCTGTATTGTAGAAGAGTCAGGCAATAGACAGGAAAATATAATCAGGTACCAAATGGGTGGTGAGCTGGCATAGCCTTCAAGAAATTAGGTCTCATGAGTTTACAGATTTTTCTCCCAAGGCTTTGGAAACAACTTCTCCACAGTAGGCCAGAGAATGAGTCTCAGTGTATGTGTCACTTACTTGCCTCCAGCTGTGTGCAGCTATTCTGCAAGACCAGCTTTGTAAAGAGGGAAGTGGTATTTGCTTTCCATGATGGATAGACCTGTTGCTTAGCTGGTGCACAGTTTGAATGGTTCTCCCATTGGAAATGCTCTCTCTGAGTTTGCAAATAACTTGTTTTAAAGGCACTCAAAGGAGAGCATTTTTTAATAATTTTATTAAACTTACCACCGCAAAAACAATATGAAATTCAGTTAGTTCATTCTTTCTGCCATCTTCACATTGAGAGTTTTGTTTGTCAGTCTTCTCTCCCAATTGGAATGCTGCAGTAAGTGTAAATCTTTTTGTCAGATTGCTCAGATGAGCAATCTCATTGTTTTATGGATGTGTGTGTGTGTGTGTGTGTGTGTGTGCGCCTCAGGGTACAGGGGACTACAGTCCTACAGCATCAGGTGCCTGCACTGGAGATTTTAACTGATTTGCTTCACCATCCTCATAATCCATCAGGGGAAAAACTCAGTTCACCATGAATCTTGCAGTGTGGATGTTGAGCCTGAGCATCATTAGAGCTCACTGGCTTGTGGGGATGTTCAGGTCCTGTCAGCTCAGGTCAGTGGCAGAAGTTGGAAGAAATTTTATTCCAGTCGCAGAGCACCCTGTCTCTTCCTCTATATTTAAAACAACCAATTCTGATTTCTGTCTTAGATTCCAGTTTAGGAAACCTCTTAGTCATACACCAAGCCTTGTCGTGAATTAATCCCATCTGTGTGTTCAGATACACAAGAATGTGTGTATGAGAGTTTTGGAAGGCTTCCTTGGAGGTGTGTGTTGTTTTCATTGATGCTGCATACATGAACTCAGCTTCGTAAGTGCAAGGCAGTTTAGGTAAAAGTAGAAGGATCAGGCTGCAGGACTACTACAAAAGACATAAAGGAGATGTGAATGCTAAATAAAAAATGAAGTAAAATCAAATAAAACATCTGATGTTTCAACGTGTCCTTTCAGTTGCTCCTGGTAGGAGCAAGGGAAAAATCAAACAACAAAGTAGCAAAAAATGAAGCTACATTGTTGGACAAAATTTAAATCAATATCAGGAAACACCCCTGAATTTTTATTCCGATTACTATCATAAAGGGAAGAAGAAAAATTACATTTTTCAGGTAGTGTTTGGTAAACTAACAAAAAAATCTGTCATCTGTTACTATATCTGTGCAATTAAGGGTATGATCTTGAAAAAAGCAAATCTGCTTCACCCAGCTAGAGTTAGTTTAAATGTGGCTAGAATGGAAAGCTGCTTTTTCAATAGACTAATCACAAGTCTTTCCTACTTTTTCAAGCACTAATTGCAAAACTTAGATACAGTGTCACAGACCACAACATCTTAAATTTGGGTGAGGTAACTGAAAGAAATAAATTGTCCACTGTGAAATTCTAGTTTCAATGATTTAGATAAAAATGTTCTGCTGATCGAGATTGTCCTCTAAGGAATAGGAAGACTGTTGTGTACCAGATTGGCATACAGGAGGTCTCTTGTTGTTCGTTTGTTGCTGTTTGTTTAATTTAGGGTCTTTTTTTAGGTTATTTTTGGGATTGCTTTTTTTTTCTTCTTTTAATAAGCCAAGTCAACACTTGGCACTCATTCTGATTTCAGACTCGTCTTAGGTCATTGTACAGCTTCATCAGTTTTCTGGTAAAATCAGGTCCCTTGGTGTGTTTCATTAGAAACTGCTTTCAGTCTCTCCCACACCTCAAGATGCAGAGTGATTGTATAACAGTACTTTGAGTATATTTATTTTCCATTACCATGCAATTTTTATTTAATTAAGGTGCATATATTTGTTACAGCGGGTGCACAGGATGGTTAGTGGTCTGCTTTAAAATTGTATGGATGTGCAAAACATTTGTCCTGGAATATGCTGTGTTTCTGCAGTCCAACTGAAATGCTTCACACTGAAGCCAGACCATTTCTTTGCAGGCTTTATTAACATCATAATCTTTTGATTACCAGCACACTGGGTGTGCTCAAACACCACGATGTGGATATGTCAGCGTGGAAGTCTGTGTGTGAGGCTACACATTTTTCATACATTTGGGAATGAGTTTCAGAACCCCAGTGGGTGCAAAAGGGCTGAAATTATAGTGTGTTTCAGAGCAACAGTGCAAAGTGAAAGAAAAGGGAGAGACCAAATTATTTTCTCCTCTTTCCTTTAGCAGACAAGATGAAGCAATGGCTTTGGCTAAGCATGAGAATGAAGATACATTCATTGCAGCACAGCTCCAGCAGACTTTGGCTAACTTGGATGAAGATTTAGAAGGTAGGAAAGTGTGTGTTACCTCTGAAGTGCAAGAGACAGAGACACAGCCAGTGGATGCAGAATCTATCCGTACTCTTGAGACATCCTCACTAAGGATGTATGTTTCTCACTAAGATCACAGGGAACTCATGAGTGAGGTAGAATGTGGTTCCCCCAAAGTGGCTTCTTTGCTTCAGGAGTAGACACCCTTTATAGGCTCCCACTGAATATATTTCAAACTGCATATCAGATTGTCGTTGTATTTCAGTGTCTTCTAGCAAAAAGAGATTAACAGGATCCAATGGACACATTTTATTGGCCAGATTTAGTATAATTTCATTGACTTCAGTGAAGCTAAATCAGTTGTGAATCTATGTTTAATGAAGAATACCTCTGTCTTTATTTTATCATTATGAAGTGGAAAAGGATGAAACATTTTTGTACCCAGTGTCTCCTCTGTGTTAACAGGCACATTTAAAAGTTAAAAATGGAAAAACATGAAACAGTGGGAAGAGATAAAATGTCATATTGTGCTCCTCTTTTTCCTACTGTGAATTAAAAATACTTCTCTATTATTGGTTTGTCAACAAATGACATTGAGTACTTTTTTCTAACTTCCCATCTTCAATTTAATACCTCTGCAATGGATTTTAGTCTCATTTGATTTCTTGTGAGTTCTCAGACACAGCCATTTCTTGGCTTGTGTTGTAACCTTTGATTTATACCAACAAATTTGAGAGTATATATAGCCCTCTTGCACAATGAGGCTTCTGTAGTCACTGGTAATAAAGGGTGAGAAGAATGGAGAGAAAATAAAAGTACTGTTTCTTTGTTTACTTGCTCAAGGAAATCCTTCAGCTGCGCTGTTATTACTAACCAGGTCTGGGAAACACAATTTGGAGTTGCTTGCTGTTTCTTAGAAATGTTTCCCCTTTGGAGTCATGTGGTGAAATGTTTATCACTTAGATAAGTTAGTCAAAGATAAGGTATGAACAATAGATGAAATTCTGCTTTCAGCTGCATTTGTGTGTTTCCCACTGGCCGGAGGGAGTGCAGGAATATTTTGCCAATCCTAATCAGCAACCAGACAATAAGAAGGACCCAGACGTCTCCATTTTTTGTAATACAGGCATTAAAAAAAAAAAACCCTGTTACTTAAAGTGTAACTAAAATACCTGGTTTGCTTAAACTTGTACTGTCTGTCTGTGTAATTTATAGTCATATTGCCTAAATGCTGCCTATATGTAACATTGTATGTGTGTTTTGCAGCAGTGGATAGTGTCAGTAACTCTGACTCCGACTACACCAGTGAAGCCTTGAACCCACATATAAGAAAAGTTGAGGCCACCCAAGATGTTTCCATTTCTGTTCCAGTAACAATCATAGATGATGCTCCAGAAGTTAGCATCTCTAATTCAGATGAAAATCAAGAGATGGAGATTAGAGTTTCACAGACTATCTCAGCTGAGTCTGTTAATGCAAGAAACTTCACAAATAAAAACAACAATGCAGGTTCCTTTGATAAGGGACACACAGATGGTGGAGCTGTATGCAAGGACCTAATATATCAGCAACCATCTGAAAATGAATTCCTTCACTTGCCTGTGGAACAGAGGAGAGATATGTTTGAATCACTCACATCCTCCTTTGAAAAAAGAACTGAAAAGAACTTAAGACTGGAACCCTCTCCTAAACACGGTGTGAAGTCTGAGGAATGTAAATCCAAGCTGAGTCCATCTCACTCCAAAGCCATGACTGAAATCAGTACAGCAAAAGAGAAGCTAAATCCAGTTAATGAATGTAGTAGCAGAGACAAATCTCTGAAAAAAAGTAAATCAGAGTTAGAAATCAAATGGCCACCAGCAAAAAAACCAGAAGTAGAAGTCCCATCAACACCCACATGGTGTCATCGTGCCCAGAATTCAGGATCCAGCTACGAACCTAAAATGGGTTTGACAACCTTTAAAGTTGTCCCTCCCAAACCTGAAGTAAGACATTTTGATAGAGGAGTTTCACTCTCCACTGGTGCCATTAAGATAGATGAACTAGGCAATCTAATATGCCCAAACACCAGTGTTAGTAAGCAGGTACAAGGTTCTGCTTCTGATGAGAGTGAGGAAATTCATATTGGGAGAGTGAAGGCATTCTGGAGGTCAAGTTCTATGGAAAAGCAAAGTGATGACTCTGCTGAGCATTTTCCTAAAAAGTCAGCAGTCACCACAAACTCTAAGCCCTTTACTATAAAACATGAACACAAACCTGTCTGTCTTGCCACTCCAAAACCTGCAGCACCACAAACTGTTACTACCCAGGCAGCTGAAAGACAGTCTGAGAATGAAAGGACCAAACCAGCTCCTTCACTTACACAGTCCCAGGTATCACCTTTAGCAGCCCCAGCCGTTAGTAAGGACAAGCTGGAGCTCCCCTTCGTAAAGCCACACAGGAGAACTTCAAGTCAGTATGTTGCCTCTGCCATTGCAAGACACATCAGTGCAACTACCTTTAAACCTGACACTATGGAATATAATGAGAAAGATGAAAACAAGCAAGGGGCAGGAGAGGTTAAGAATGAAGCGGAAGTTTCACCAAAAAGATGTATTATTGTGGCCAAATACAGCCCTGTGGAAACAGAATCATCAGAAACAAGAGAAACACTTTCAAGTATTTTTGCTTGCAGTCAGAAAGCATCCCACAGATTTACACCTGGTGATAATTCTGGCATGGAAAACAAAGTAGTTAATATCAGGGCACCAAATCAAGCAACTCCTGTGAGTTTCTATAAAAAGAATGCCAGTGTTCCACTTAATAAATCCTCTTCAAAGGATAACAACAGTGCAGAAGATGATCATGGTTTAAACAGCAAACAAACTGTAGCAGAGAAAAAGACTGTGTTTGACCAGAGATGTGAGACTTTGACCCATACTAACTCAGCCTCATCCCTCAAGTCTCCTGATCTCCAAGGAATCTCATCCTCTTTTGGCTCATCTTTGCGAGTCACTAAATGGCGTTCTGCTAATGGTGTACAAGTTAGTTCACTTAAAGCTTCAACTGAGCTAAATGGTGCAGCAGCAAATGTAGAGTCAGAACAAGAGGAGAAACCTGATGATTCAGATGTTAATACTGTTGGTGAACTGGATGTTAATGTGCAGACCAATATTTTTGGACCAAAGAAGAAGTTCAAGCCTGTCATCCAAAAGCCAGTTCCAAAAGACACATCACTGCACAGTGCCCTAATGGAAGCCATTCAAACAGGAGGGGGAAAGGAGAAACTCAGAAAGGTAAAGTGGAAATCTTTTTAATCTTGATTAGACTGCAGAGCCCTATATTCACCCTGTCAGACACCAGAGGTTTGGTAACTTGTATAGTTGCTGGTGAGCCAGAGAACACAAGGCATTTGAAAAATTTATAATGGCAAAATGCAGACCAAGCTGCTGCTTATTCTGCACATCCTGTACATTATGCAACATCATGGGTGCTGCACTAGCTGAAGGAGGCAGAGGGTGCATAGACACAGATAAAGGAGAGGTAATTGAGGTTAGTCTAAGAACCAAACTCCCATTTCAGTGTGTTATGTAAAAACAGGAACACACAGCATGGAGAAAAGTTGTAAATACCTGCAGTGAAAGAAAATTTACTAGGGGATAATAGTATACCACTGACTTCGTGCTCAGGGGATATGGACTGCATCTCTAAGTACAGCATCACTATCTATACATACCTTTACTGTTCAGTGTGAATAAGGTTTTACAAGCAGGCCCAAAAAAAGACAAACTGATTAGTCTTCATAGTTTGCATTCTGGTACCAAGTGCCAAAAAGTGTTTCCTAGCTATCTCAAAGTAAGTATCTAATAATGATTTGAGGTTTATTCCCTCATATTCTAGGTTTCAACCAGTACACTAAATGGCAATCACGGGAAACCCTCATACACTGAGCCAGAGAATGAACGCTCAGCCCTACTAGCAGCAATTAGAGGCCACAGTGGCACCTCAAAACTAAAAAAGGTAAGGAATCAATATGGTAAGTATTTGAAGTACAGTCTATTCCTTCTGAGTGTTTTGAAAAAAACAGATATCCCACAAACAAAACATTGTGCTGCAAAGAGAGATGTTGAGGAGGTAACCATATGTCAGAGGACCAGATCTGACTTAGGCAGAGAACATAGCAGGTCCAATCCTATTCTCTGCTATAAAACTTAAAAGTCTTTCAAATAGTCTAAGCTTTTAGCTTAGAAAGAAGCATGTAGGAATCCAAACCAATTACAGGGAGTGTACATAGAAGACATCAAATGTTCATTTTCACATTTAGGTGGGTCTTTTTGGTTTTGGTTGGAAAGGATTGTTTTGGTTTGAAAGGACTTAAGCATTGTCTAGTTCCAACCCCTCTGTTTTGGGCAAGGACATCTCCCATTAGACCAGGTTGCTCAAGGCCCCATCCAACCAGGCCTTGAACAGCAACAGGGATGGGGCATCCACAGCTTCTCCGAACAGAGAAGCTATACTTTAGGAGTCTGCAGTTGGATTAATATACTTGCATTACCTACCAAATATATACACACCCAGCTTCCTGAAAACACACTAGGGCTTCTTCATACATGCTGTTATCTGCTAACATGGTACAAGTTGTATGCAAGTAAATTGATGTTGATGTTTCATCAACATTCACCACAGTAGGATGATTCCTTTTCTCTGAAAGATTTATCTAATCATTAAAGCATCTCTTATTCCTAATAGCCAAAACCTGCATTGTTCTAGCCTTAGTTTTCACTCAGTTGACTAATCTGGCCAAAGATGTGTCCTTGGCAAGGAGGTTCCCATTTCCCTCGTGCAATGACTCAGTTCATTAGCACATATCCAGATAGCTGGCATGAGATAGAAAAATTCTCTTGCCTGTATTAGGGAATTACTTCACCCCTCAAATATCCTACTGCCCTTGCTGCAGGTAGGGCACAGCTTCCTCTGAGCCTGTGAGCAGGATGTGCTAAGCAGCAGCAATCTTCACACGTACTTAACTGCATTCTGCATTCATTAGGAATAAATAGCAATTTGTGTAAAAGAGGCTCTGACAATGAAGTCATCACAGAGACTTTTTGGAATACTTTCCTCTGGCAGAGAAGTTTTTGCCATGATTTTAAAGGAAGTTGCCTAGAAACCATATGCTTTTTCACACCATGTCACCTGTGCTAGTTGAATCAGTGTGTTTTTGTGTGTACAGGGCGCAATACAGATGTGCTGTCCCTTTCATGTTGTCTCAAATGTTAGACTTTTATCTAACGTGACAAGATGCTCATATATACATTGTGTGTATATATATGTATAAGGAAGGAATACAATACAGATTCTCTCTGTGGATTATTTTAGGGGAGATGAATCCTTTAATTTTTTGCCACAGAAGCTCTGTGCTGCAGTTTGTCTGAGAAATGAATTATAATGGATCTGCTTGGAAACCTATTTGGTCCATAGTACTGAATTTCCTAATAATTGCTGAATCACTGTAATTACTAACAATTCATCATGCTTATTACTAGTAATGGTATAATGGCAAAAGTATCTCTTGACACAGTTGAGGGAAAACTGGCTTAGTCTGAAAGACTGTCTTCTTCGCCTGCATGCATTTAAAGTAGGATGAGTTTCCAAGCTGGTAATTTGTGCAGAAATTTTAGTTTCTGAAATTCCACAGAAACACACTTGGAAGAATAATCAATTGATTTTGTTCTCAGTGCTTTCACATAGCTCTCTCTGGTCTTTTTTCTTTTTTTTTCTTTTTTAAGTATGGCTGGAAACTTTAGGTTTAATGACTTTTTTTTTCAGTGAAGCTAAGTCTAAGAGCTCAGATCTGGAAGAGCTTCCCTGTCATCTGAGATTATTTCTGTGCAGCCCAGACTGCAAAACGTAATCATATTCCTGGGTGGCTACTGCAGCCTTAACATATCTTCCTGATTCCAAAACCCTTGTGGTTGTTTCCAAATTAATACCAAGTCCAACTTTCTCTCTTACTTTACATGCCAAGAAGAGTTACAGGATGCTGAAGCTCACAGTAAATAAAGATTGGGTTTCTGAGACAGAATCAATGCCAAATCCTCGATGCTGGTGATCAGCCCAGCTGAGTGATGTGAGTGAGTAGTAACAGATGTTCAACCCCATGAGCAAACAAAAGTTCTATGGGTTTTACATCATCCAAGAAAAGTGAAATCGGGGTACTGAAAGTGCATCAAATGTCAAATAATTACAGTTTAGCCATGCTTGATATTAACCACCTTCTTTCAACTGCATGATGTGCAGATCTCCTCAGTGGCCTCCCAAGAGCTGCAGCGTTTTAGGGATGCAGAACAGTCCTTGCAGAAGGCAGAAGACCTTCAGGAAGAGCAGCTCTGTATCCCACCTGCCCCTGCCCAGCCACCACCACCACCACCTCCCATTCAGCTGTCAGCAGCAGCTCCTAAATCTTCTGCCACAGCTTCAGGTAATCCAGTGGAGGCAAGGCAAGCCCTGTTGGAGGCCATTCGCTCTGGTGCTGGAGCAGCAAAGTTAAGAAAGGTAAATGTACTTTCATATTTTACTGTGGATGAAACAACCTGTGCTTGCTGTTTTCAGAACCATTTTTAAGTTGTTCTAGGCACAAATTTATTTCTTCTATCAGAAGAAGGTACATGCACTATTTCCTCTCACTGAATCAAAGATTGGGAATGTATTTGAAACCTTTGAACAGCTAATGAAACACACCCGTGCATATATGCAATCCTGTGAACAGACAATGCATTTTATTAAAAAGACCATCAAGAGTATGACTATAATTTCAGAAGGCATTTTCATGACCTTTTCATTCTGTATCATCTGTGATAATACTGCATGTCCTCTAGACAAGGTGATCCTAAGAAAGATCAGATATGAGACCCTGAAGCAAATTTAGAAATAAATAGTATCTCCTAATTTCAGCAGTGTGTCCTAGACCTTGATTCCCAACACTTAAAGCTTGATCACACATGCTGAGATCTGTCAGTAAAACTGTGAGGTCAATTTAATGTCTGCCTGAACTTTATTAATTGAATGATGTGTGTTTCACTTTTGTGGTTAGATGTGAACTGGCCAACTCCCAGATGGCTAAACGCTCAGTTGCCTGTGTGTGATTTTTGGAGCAGCTATACTTATCTCTTTGATCAAAGTTTGTTCTTCCCAATCTCAAGTTACGCTGTGTTTCTTGGTAAAGAGAAGCAGATCAGTTGTCTTGAGTGGAGGCATCTCATTATTACACTGCAGTATCCAAGAATAGACTTTGATCCAAGGACTTAAGGGAATGTAGAAAAGCAGATGTAGTTTTCCCTACACATGAGTTAGCTGATGCCAACCATAAATGTGTAGTCTTTAACCTTGCTCACTTGTTCTCTTTTAAATAATTTTAAAATTCACTCAAATTTTAACATTCAAAAGTTATCCAAAAAATTTGGTTTCTGATAAACCAAAAAGTCCACAGAATCATACTAATGGCACAAACAAATAAGTGTTCCAGGGAAATTTACATCAGCATATTCTGATTACATCAGAAATAAAGATGTGTAGTTAATTTTTAATGTGAAAAATTACATCTGTATTATGCAGATGATTATGAGGAGCAGCTGAGTTCACACTTGATTTGTTCAAGTTGGAGAAGGCTGAGGAGCAACCTCATTACAGTCAGTGCCTTCCTTGAGGAGGGCAGCTGAGGGGCAGGCACCATCTCCTTTGTGTGGTGGCCAGCAATGGATCCCAAGGGAATGGAATGCAGCTGTGCCAGGAAAAGCTTCTTCGCTCAGAGGGTGTTTGGGCACTGGAACAGGCTCCTCAGGGAAGTGGTCACAGCACCAAACCTGAGAGAGTTCAAGGAGGATCTGGGCGATGCTCCTGGTCATATGGTTTAGTTTTAGGCAGCTCCTGGGAGGAGCAGGGAGTTGGACTCAGTGATCCTTATGGGACCCTTCCAATTTGAGAGATTCTGTGATTCTAAAACTACAAATTATGAAGAAGTCAGGCCCTTATTTCCCCACTTCACCAATTGACAGAAAAAAAATGGGACTTGGACATTCAAGGGTACTTTATGCAGTTGTTTTCAAGATACTTCCAAATTTCTTACTCTTCCAACTACATTGCTCTTGCAGAAGTCTCTGAGGGGATCCATAGCTCTACTCATGAAAACAAGTCTTTATCATATCTTTGGGGGTTTATTTCAAAACACTTGGATAACCCATGCAGGTCATGAAAGTACACCAGATAGACTGATGTATTCTGCTAAATATTGTGCCTGTCTTGTCTCATTTCCAAGACAGAATAATTTTTGCTACTTTTGACATTGAAACAACAGAAGAGTACATCTCATTATATAGGTCTCTTATGAAAATAAAAGAGAGCAGTGTTTTGTCCAAGACAGAGTATGATTTTCTTATTACTGTGCTGTCCTTCCAGATACTGGATATGCAAGCTAGTCTCATGTATGCCAAAGTCATCATGACACTTTGACATCTGAGGTCTCATGCCCTTGATAACTGATTAAAGTAAAAATGTTGTCAGATTTCTGAAAAGGCTTTCTATCCAGTGTGTTTTAATATCTCTTCTAGTTTTATGCGTTATATTGAGAGCCAAATTCTGATCCTTCCCTTCAGCTGGACAACTTGTGACAGCAAAAGTTGAATCCACAGAGGAGAGAGAATACATGATAGCTGAGTATCAGTGTTTTCTTCCTTAACCCATGTCTAAGGAACACTGAGGTGTTTTTGTAGGCAGTGGCTGACAGGTTTCTTTGTGCCACTGCTGAAGCAAATTTTTTCTTTGTTTTGCCTGCTCTGTCAAAGTTCTATGATATGATTTGGAGATGCGAGCGCAGCGCTGTTTTTTGCTTTACTTTCTGGAAGATTTTGGTTGCAGCAACTAGACAGAAGAGTAGGTAGTTCAGTTCAGTAATAGCATCTGTTTCTCTTCCATTGTCTTCCCAAAGTCTTCTTGGACAAAGGCTTCTGACAGCAAAGTCATTTATTTAGCTAATATTGTGGAGAACTGGGAAAAATCTACATTGCTGACAGCAAAATCATTTATTTAGCTAACATTGTAGAGAACTGGGAAGAATCTGTGTTGCATAATTATGTGTGACTCGGTGCTTTATTTATGTGGGGTTAGTTGCAATGGAAGTAGATCAAACATAGCTGTCATGGGAAGCAAATGTAAAAAGCAACCCATTGCCTAGATAAGGAGCATCCCAACAAACATCTGAGCTCAAGTAATATCTGTGAAAAAGCAGCTCCTCCATTCCTTCCCTGATTACACAGCTGTTTGCTAAAGTCATGAACTTTAAGGTTAAAAGATTCGCTCTGCAGGAAATGAGGAGAGAAGTTGCTGCAGGCTGACCTTGCTTAGCTGAGAGTCAGGGTCTGCACAGCACAGTCTCTAATTGGGTCAGCCAAAAGAAGCCAGAGCAGAAATAGATGCTTGAGGGAAATGCCAAGTACAGGCAAGATAGTATATGCATAGCTCTCCTCACTCTTCCTTAATCCATTTTTTGCAGTACTGTGCCTGTTTTGGCAAATAAATCACTCTTTGTTTTGAAGAAATGGCTTCTGTTTTATTGCACACTTTTGCTGTCATAGACTCATGAAGGAAAATTCTTGCAGGTGCCAAGCCCAGTTGAGCCTGCTCAGTCAAATGGCTCATCCCCAGTGAAGGGTAGTTCAGACACCTGCCAGAAAGTGGTTATACTGCAGATCCTATCTAAAAGAAAGGGAGACACAGAGTGTTACAGGAATGGGATGAATTTACCAGCCTGGAGAAGACCTGACAATGTGCAAGGAAGCAACCCTTTCCTCAGTTTTTGAAATGGTCTGTCAAGGAACCTGACAGGTGTTCAACACAGCCAAAGTATAACAGCAAGTCAGGGAGGTGGCATCAAGTAAAGCCACCAGCCACGATGGGTTCTCTGGTGCCTTTAGTGGTTACTTATGAGAAATGAACATGTCTCACTAGCAGGGAGGCTGTCCCAGCCATGGGATCTGCCACATGTAAAAAGGAGAATCAGTTGATCTAGGAAGTAAACAGCTCATCTGAGACCAAATCGTAGCTAATTCTGGTGGACAAAACTCAGGTCATAGAGCTGTACCATTTGACGTACTGATTTTAAAGGTGAACTAGTGTTTTCCTCAAATTGTGTCAAACAGTATCATATAGTTAAGTTTATATATATGTGCAGTTTTTAACTTCCTATTTAGCATCTCGTAAAATGCAAAATAATGTAGCTAGATGTCTGAAATTCTCTATATCAATGCATGTGTATTTTTGTGTTTATGTAACTTGCCTTGGGATTTACCATGATTATTTGTGGAAAAAAACCCGTAACTACACATGCAAATAACCCGTTAGATGTCTAGCTGTAGGTATAGTTGCAGCACAAGTCCATGCAGGATTAAAAATCTTATTCAACAAAGGGAAGCTATAAAAGTTGCTTTAGCTTATATGCCATACACTCATTTTAGGTAGAGTTGTACCCAGGGATTCAGTAGAGTTATTGCAGGGGAATGTGTCTGCACATGGTGGGGAAAGCAAGTTATATCTCTGAAGAACAGGCTGTTGCTCTTGGTAAAGTGATTGCTTTAAAACACATTTTAATGGTATGTTCAAGGGAGATTCTGCAGATTCCATGTATTTTCCAATAAAGATTGGAGTTGCACCGAAGCAGCCTTTTCTGTTTGTTCATTGAGATTTTAAAAATTAATTTGGCTCCATCACAGTTCCCACAAGCATTCATGGTGATGTTTGGCATCAGCATTAGGTCACGTCAGCTCTTGATACGTGCAGTGCATCATTCTGTTGGCAATCAAAGGAGTCAGGTAAGGTAATTACTGCACCAACTGCAATGAGTCCCCGTGTTCTCTGGGATAATTTGGAGTTGGTTGTCAACAAGTAATGCATCGATCGGAATTATGGCATGTTGAGTGTCTTCTAGGAAGCATGGCCTAGTTCCATACCTTTATGTCAAGCAGTGAACTGTTCTTCTCACATAAACAGAGAAGTATAATCGTGAGTGAGCAAATACTGTTTCTTATCATCAGTATCTGTGGGTGCAATGAAAGAAATTACAGACTCAAAGCCACAGTTGGTATGCTGGAAATGGGGTAGGAGGCCCAATGATAAGATTGGCCAAGCTTGATATACAGGTAGTCAAATGACTCTATAAAATGATTTTGGTTCCCATGCACAGTGAGAGGCAGGGATTTGCATGCTGTTACTCTTTTTGAATTGGAAGATAAAACATAATTTGAACTCTTCACCTTGCTAATAATCTATACCATGACCTATTTTTTTCCTCAAGAGTGAGGGTCAAAATGGAAAATTTAGACTTGATCAAATGCATTATTCCTGTTCAACTTTTGTGGTGACCTTAATGTATATGTCTCTGATAGAATCAAAGCTCAATAACTTTGAATTTGGAAGAGCACCTTAGCATATGTATTTAAAATTAAGCATATGCTTAGATGACCCAAGGAGGGGGAAGGAAGATAAGCATTTGTTTAAGTGTTTTCCTGAATCACAGCCGTTGGGAGTTTCCTTCATTCAATCAGGAAGCAAAGTACTCATCAATTGATTTTTATGGCCAGTGACAGCTAACCAACACAGAACAGATTTTGACTGACAGATGTTGCATACTTGCAGCCTGGGCTTCTGCTCATTCCACAAAATGAAGGCATTTCACAGAAAAATGCATCACCTATGCTCCAGAAATAACACTATTGCAAACATAATACCTAAAGATGTATGAAGTGTGGGTTTTTTAGGGAAGGATAGCACTTTTCATTAGACCAAGTGATATAGCTAGAAAAAAAAAGCAGATAAGCTTAAGTAGTCTCAAGGAGCAGATGAAGAGGCCAAGCTTGGAAACAGCCCCATGGGAGAATGTTTGGTTAACAATGTCAACAGTTGGAGGTTTAAAAATATCTTGAATGATCATGTGCTTTTCTTTGTTACAGGTCCCTCTGCTCGTTTGAATCATGTAAAAAGAATAGCTACCTGGAAAATCTAACCCCATATGCACCCATAATCATCATTCAAAGTCTGAAGTGGCAAAAAACTTCAAGAAGTTTAGTTATTCTCTTGACTACAAGCCAAAATAAGTTGTAGTTAATTTTCTGTGTGTTCCTGCATAATGTTTCTAAGGGGAAAATGTGTTGCTCTGCTGTAAAGCTCCTGTGCCAAGGAATTGTGTTTTGCCTCTGAATATTTAAGGTTGCCAATAAACTATTCTTGTTGGCAGGTTAATAAGAATATAAACACTGTGCAGTCCTGTGTTAATACTTAATTGTGTTTATGGGCAAAACTAAAAACTTTGCTAGCTATCTGAAAAGTAATACTCATTTCCAGCTGTTAAAAATATGTAACTATTTCAGACTACTTACTTGCTTCTTTTTTGATTTCAAGAAGGGCTGTAAGCGATTACGGTGAAAACCAGAGTAAAGATCTTTAAAAATCAATTACAAGAAGAAAGTTATGATACCTAAATTGTCATGTGCTGGGCTCATTGGTTTTTAAAATTAAATTAACTTTGTGTCTCTGCTGGAGCTCTGAGAAAGCAGGCAATCAATAATGAATGTGAGACAGTGTCTATTGAAAAGTTACTTATGGGATATGAAGTATAGAATGCTAATGTGCAGAGATATGCTGAACCCAGGTAACAAATATGGCACTTCAAAATTATTGAGCCACCTCAAAGGATCTCTATTTGCAACAGACTGTGAAGGTTATAAATAAGATTCAGAGTATAGAGGTCCAAGATGTAGAATTCATTCTGCACTGCAAAATGAAGAGGAGCTGGTTTATATCAGTAACCAGGACTTTTGTGGTCTATTGTTCAGGTCATGCATAAGTTGGCCCTTGGTTTCTAATTCATATGGCTGTTGTATGTTGTCTCACAAGTATTTATAGCAGCATCTTTTTCAAATGTTAACTACTTTGGTAGTTGTTGTTGTACATATTTTGAAAATATTTCGTTAAATTGATTAACTTAAAAAGGACAAATTAATTTTCTTTTTCACATTTCCTATATTGTAATGAAACTGAAGAAGAGGAAGTTTGTATATTTACATTTTTATAATCACAGACTACAGTGGTGGCAGATTTTGTCTTTAAGCTGGAATTTAAAAATGTATAGCTATGGACTGTTGAAAGGACAAGAATATTTAGCCATCTGCATTTAATGTGACTATATATTATATATTGTAAAATATTGATGTCTGTTAGTGCCACAAATAAAAACAAAATCAAAACCTGACATGACTTTAGAGGCTCTTCGTTTTTGTCAAATATTTTCCATTTACTGTAAGAAATTACAACTAGAAATGGACTTTAGCAAACCAGTATGCTGTGCTCAGTATCTCAAGTCTAGCATAAAATATCACAAGCCAGGAAAGTGCTCACAACTAACAGTTTAGAACTGCAGTAGAAATCACCAGCTAGGATCAATATGTGAGTTATATACATTTCAACAAAGATGGAATACTGGTAATGTTCCATTTCCTCATTAGGGAAGTTTATATATTCAGAACTAAGGTGCTCTGTTGCACTCTAGGATAAATAAGATCACCTCTGTTGATTGTGATTATCCTTCCTTTGCCTTTGAAATCTTCTTGGTGTGCTGCAGATCAGAAGCACTAACATCGAAAATGCTATCACAGGAAAGGATTCAGTCACTCGTAATTTTGATGATGTAGATATTCCCCACAGCAGCAAATACTCCTTCCTTGGCTGGCTGCTGCAAGGCAAATTTCAGTGCATCTCTCCTCCTTTTTGTTCTTAGTGTTGCCTGGGGGTCCTAGGTGCATAGCCCTTCTTCCTAACACCCTTTTAGTGCAATAAGTTATATGAATACTTACTTTTCAATGTAAGGGATTCAAAACTGGATTTTTTGACAATAGCATCCTCTGGGTTTCACAATACAAAGTTTCTGGTTCTGGGTGCTGGTGCTATATAGAACTAAAGTTTCTAAATTTTATCCAGAGATAAATTTCTGAGTAAAAGCTATAAAAACAGCTACAAGATAAGATGTCATCTTCACTTTGACAGAAAAAAAAAATTAGAAAAACCCTGATGGCTCAGTCACAACTCAAACTAAAAATGGAAGGAAGTTCAGCTACCTACAGTAGGAAGCCTAGGCTGGCTGTTCATTCCCTTCTCATGTTAATGAGATTTGTGTCTGCTCTTAAACTGTTGAACCCTTGGTAGGAGCTTATCTGAACCCCAGGTGAATGCAGATTTTACTGTAAACCCATTTATAATGAAGTCTAGTTACAGGTATGACCCTTCCATATAGCAACTTTCTGTTCATGCTTTTAGTAGTAATAATGGTTAGCTCATCCTGAGTTAAAAGAAAAACCCTGAAGTGTGTCTTGTAAAGACATGGCCTTCTCAGCATCAGGTATTTTCATCTACGTGGCTGCTCTTGCTATCCTACACTGTTTGCTGGTCCAGACACAGCCTGTGTACACAGCCTGTAGAGATGTACATGTTGCCCAGGTTACACCCTGACATGTCCTATCATGGCATAGTCTGCAAGCTCCTTTCTTTTTTGAAGGACTGCAAGAAGGACAGGGAACTCCCCTTTTCCTCAGTGTTTCTCTGTCTAGATTGTCCCCACATGCTTTTGCCCCAGTTCAACCAGAGGAAAGACTCAGATATATGCCTGATTCATCCAGCCCTTTATATTTTCTTTTTTAGTAAGAGATTGAAATTAAGTGAATAAATGGTATCACCACGGAAACTGAATGGAGAATTTGGATTTGATATCTTTATTAATTTTACAGGTACAATTCAATGTTCAGGGCTTAAAGAAATCGAATCTTGTGTCTCAAATAAAAATTTTTACTTCTTCCTTCCCCTTTTTTATCTTTTTTTTTAAACATGAGTTTAGAGTAATCCTCAACCATTAAGTCAGCATTAGATCTCTCTGATTAGATATTTAATTTTCAATAATACTGGTTGTCTGCACAAACCATTTGACTTAGAGGAGTTCATTATAGATTGGGGGTTTTTTTGGAAAGACAGCCCGTTAGCATTAGTCATGCGAAGTATTGGACCAAAGGACCTCTTGACATGCACATCAATCTACTGAGTTTCAAACATGGCAGGGTTCAGCTTCCCCAGCTCATACGACTGATTTGCACTATTTATGCTACATTTGCCACAGCCAAAAATTGGCACTTCATCAGTGTGTAGGAGAAAGAAAGAGAACAAGAGATGCATTTATGAAACAATGGAAAAAGACACCCTGAGATAGTTTTCCCTCTAACCTCTCCAGAAAAGAAAGAAGCAGTTCTATTGTTGAGTGCTGCTTAGTATTAAACACAAGGTTTAATTTGAATCCAAAGACTTGCACAAATCTTGATGTGATTCAGTTTGTCTGAATGAAATGTTTATAAATCGGTTCTTTGTTGGTGCAATATGAAAAATAGTTGTCTTCTGCAACCGTTAATTAGCAACTTTTACGTATGTAAAGTATTTATTTGTGTATATTGTTTCTCATCTCTAATCCCCTGTTGGGTTGCATATGTATTATGTGTACCAACGTGCTTTGCCTGTGAGACTTCTGTTAAGATTTATTAGACTATTCCCATTGTTACTCTGTTTGTTGCTGCTGAGCACACACAATAAAATACTCCATGCCCCTGCTATATAGCTTTAGTTGCCATAATGGTTGTGTTTCCTCACTTGCATGACCTTTGTAATGATACAGTTCTTTTTTAAACATAAAATGAAACAAATTCCTGATTTTTCAGTAATGTTCACCTGGATTTTGTGCATCGCTGTTTTGATCTGCTTTTCTTTTTTGTTTTGATTCATAGCTGATGGCTTCCTTTGGCTGGAGAAAGTTTCCCTGTAGTTGCATTCTCAGGGTTGTTCATCAAAGTATGGTAAGATGGATGATCCTTTCTAAAAGCAAAAAGGTACCTTTTTTTTGTTATTTTTACCAAATATAATTATTTTTTAAATAAATACAATTTTCTTAGATACTAGTAGGTTGCATGATATCAAAATCCCACTATCCTCTGTTTGTCTACCAACTTTTTGTTCTTGTTTAAACAGTTTCTTATTTAGTGCAGTATTGAAGACTTCAAAAAGAGAGAGAAAATAGAACTACTTAACAGGAATATTGTGTTTTTCACACTTAAGGAGTTTAGGAACAAGCTTGCTTCCATAGTCTGTTCCCTCCCATCACTCATTCCATATGTACAGGAGCACGCGCGCACAGAGTCTCCTTCGTCATTTCTGAAGGTCAGGAATAGTTAAAAAAGCATCTTTACCACGGGATCCTTTTCCATTTTTAACAGGAGCTTTTTTTGTCCTGTAAAATAGGAACTTCTAGAAAGTCAGGGACTAAGTTTTGGCGCAGTCACAGCAGCTATACACAGTCATTGCTGGAAGCAATGTCAAATCCAGCTCCATATAATGCTATCTTCAGCCAATTTCTTTTCCTTTGGGTTTTTTTTCCATTCCTTTTTTGTCTGTGAACTGATAAAAACATGTATGTGCCATGTCTCTTTTCTGAGGTCATTATTGTGCTTGAAGCCCTACAAGGTTTTCCCTGAACAAAGCATAGTGGTGTTGCAGTTGAACACCAGACTGAAAGAGGACATTTATTCATACACAAACACCACTGTCCAGTTTGCAAGTCAGGAGCTGGAAAAGGAAACATAATTGAAAGAACAAGACTGTGGAACATTATTGTCTTCTACATCAGAACCTGTGTTTACTGTAACAGGAACAAAGCAAACACAGTGCAAATAGGCGTGGGCTTCCTTTGTCTTGTTCCATGCATTCAACAGAGAGGTTTCTGTCAGAAACACTGGCATCTGTCCCTAGTACTGCTTGGCACGGGTCAGTGGGTCACAACTTGAGGGTACTGGTTTGGGTGGCACCACTGATGGGTTGTGTCACTAGTTTGGGCTTTTTTTTGCCTTGTGATAAGCCAAAACGTGGTTTGATTTAGCCAGTACTCAAGACTGCAAACCAAGTGCCTGTGCTACTGCAATGAGCAAAGGCTCCACACGTGGACTGCAATTAAGGTGGACAGTAATCCATGATCCAGTGTGTGCCAACTACAGAACCCAGATGCCAGTAGCCAGTGCAATCATCTTCTTAAGCCAGAGGTAATGATAAAAGTGAAGGGAGAGGGAAATGGATATATCTACCTTCTGACAGAACCTAGGAATAAGCCACATGTAATTCAAAGAGCCGCAGCCCTCCCTGCCCCAGCAACATCTATCAGTGCAAAAAACATGCAGGAGGTGCCTCAGTAAGCAGCAGGTCCACCAAAACTACTGATAGATCTGAATTTTACCGAAAAGATCCTGAAACTGCACATATCTATGCTGATGCAGCTACCTGGTGGGTTAACATGCTCCAGACCAGACTAATACTCTCCTCAGGATAGACCTTTTGCTGATAAAATCCAGCCCTCAGTCCTTCAGTCAGCTCAGGAGGTGGG